ACAAATACTAATATACCCATGGCCATTGAAAGATCTTTTTGGGTTCCTTCTTAGCTTTTCCTTCTTATACTAATTTATAGTATTGTTAATTTGAAGCAAGACATGTAACGTGTGGAAATTCTACTAGTAATAGAAAAAGAGACATTCACATAGGGATGGAAGAGGAGGGATGTGAAAAGTGAAGCAATGAAACCAATTTGCGTCCTGGAGAGTCTTGATCTTCCTGGATTTTATTACAGTTTCTTCCCCCACTATCTCTTTTTCACTTTTGCTTCACTTTCTAGACAAAAGGAAGAACATGACATCCAGTAAAGTCTTGGTCTTCTCAATGAAAAGTTAGATAAATCAACTGTTCTCCTTTTGCTCTCGATCAAGACTTTTGGCTATCGTTTGAAAGAGGATAAGAGGTGATATTTCTTCACATGACCAACTTAGAGGGCATCCATATCTTCATAAAAAATTATCAACTTACCAAGTGTTTTGTTGGTTTTTTTTTTAAGTAATAGGCTTTTTATGTGGCAGTTACAGTGCTAAAAATTCATAGCAAAATGGGCGGCAATGATCTATTGAAGAGTGCTAAAGTAGTTGTTGATGATCGTGAATCGCTTGATAGGAGAATCGTGGTCCTCTAAAAAGAAAAAGGTAGCCCAAAGCAACTTGCTTAATGGATTAGTTGGTGATTTGTGAATCGTTTACTATTTCCGAAGTAAAATTAAGCAACTTGCTTCATGGATTCGTTGGCGTACCCGGCTCTTTTTCTTGTTAGCCCAAAGCATGTGTTTATGTTCTCCTTATCGAACAGTCAAAGTTAGCTGTCTTTGATGACTTGTAGATGCAAATAGAAAGTAAGATGCCATTGTGAGGTGGATCGTTAACATTTATTTCAATCGGTGCAAGTTGCACAGAGATGCTTATTTGTTAATCGTATTAATTGTGGTTAGCTTCATTCATTGCTAGACAAGAAAAAGGGTCAGACATCGCCAACTAACAATAAAAGTAAAAAAAAGAAAAAACAGGAAAATCGTGCAAAGGAGATTCTCCTATCAAGTGGTTCTCTATCATCAACTACTACCTCAGCACCTTTCAGTAGATCGTTGTTGCCAGTCTTGCTCTGAATCTTTAGCACTATAAAGCCTACATTGATCGAATGTCACCAATAAGTCATAAAACAAAGACATTGAAACCATAAGGTTATTGAGAATGTACGGATGCATAAAAAAAAGCCAACAAAACACTCGTGAGTAATAAATTTTTAACGATGATCTGCATGCACTCTAAATTGGTCATACGAAGAAAAATCAACTTTTGTCCTCTGTTTTAGATCGAGACTTTTTGGCTTGTGTTTGAAACGGAGGACCTTTTTCTTGTGACCATCCAAAACAGAGGATAAGAGGTGACTTTTCTTTAATAATCAACTTCGAGTGCACGCATAGTTTTTCCATATATTCTTGGTATGCTTGTGATTTCAATGTCTTTGTTTTCTGCTTTATTCGTGAATATGCAATCAATGTAGGGCTTTACATGGCAGTTACAGTGCTAAAGATTCGCATATGTTTAAGAAAATAATTTACTGAAATAATTTGAATATATTGTGGAAATATAGCAAGTTCCTCGATTCCTCCTTCAAAGTGGACGAACAAACAAAGTTAGCATTTGCCTTATCGAACAGACAAAGTTAGCCATCTGATGACTTGTAGTTGTATATCCAGAAGTCTTGGTCTTCCTGAGAATATATGATTGTGGAAACTACAAATATCTGAAGATAATCTCTAACATTACCAGACAAGCACGAAAAACTATTTTATTTTGATTCCTCTAACCACCGAAGAGCATCCTTGAAAGTCTTGGTGGCAGGTGAAAGTCTTGGTCTTTGTTTAATGTTTCTGGTAGGCGAAAGTCTTGGTCTTCCTGGCCTTTAAAATCCTCGGAAGTATTTTAGGTTGATTTCTCTAACCACTGATGTGCATCCTTGAAAGTCTCGGTCTTTCTTTAATGTTTTTGGTAGGTGGAAAGTCTTGGTCTTCCTCGACTAAATGGTTTTCTCTCTCCGTTAGCTCACTTCTGCTTTCAAAAAGATAGAACTAAACGAAAAGAAAGGAAAAATTTAATAAGTTCTGGACAATTTCAACTGTTGCTCATGAGTTCCTAAATTGATAGATTCAATTTTAAAAAATACGTACGCACTGATCGTAAGCCGATGCGTAGCATGGGTACTCTACCGGTATATAAAGTTGATCACTCCTCGTTAATGAGCCCTATTAATTATTTACTTTCCCTTTCCTAAAAGTCATTAATAGAAAAACAGGAAAAAAAACGGATGATTTAATCTAAAACCTATTTACATTTGAACCCAATTAATGAGGTCAATTAATTATGAAATATGAAACTATCTTAGATTACTAATGTTCATCCGCGCGCTACGCACAAACCTAGGCATATGAATATTGTGCACATATTTTCAGATTACATGTGATTAAATATTAGGAATTAGAATATAATGAGCTGTTTCTGTGGTTGATTGTTACCAAATATTACTCAACTCTTAGAACTCGGCATACTTGAACCGAACATAATTACCTACAACAAAATTAAAATCGTCAAATGCACTAATCTAATTTGTTCCGTAGAGGCCTCAACTGCAAGCAGTACGAATTTCCGGTTTTCTTTTTTGTATCAATTGAATCTAATTGACTACTAAAAGTTAAAAAATATATATATGACTTACCATAAATCCAGTGAAAAGCACCAAAATAAAATGGACGACATCGTTACTACTTCAATACTTTTGATAAGTGTATATGACTTTACAACTATCATTTATATTCGCCTAGCAGTAATACATGACAAAGAAAATCAGAGAATATTTCTTGGCATATAAAAAAAATACACAATTTGATTTTGCCTTATTTCAAGCATTTGCATTCAAGAGGAGCCACTTATTCGATTTTACATGCGAGTGGTTGAAGCAAAAACTCCATAAAAGGAACCCCCATCAATTTCATTCTTATATCTATGGCTTCCAAAGATATTCAAATTGAATGAAATAAAACCAGATACTGAGGTGCATCAAATTTCTTGCCTGTGTGCTGGTAATCAAGTATCTAAAGGTTTTTTTTTTCCGTTCAATCAATTATCTCGACATTTCAAATGTGGGTCAACATGAGACCACCATTGAAATCGCGAACAAAAAATGTCGATATGACACCAACGCTAAGTAACCGTTAACTATTTACATTGACGTCCGGTATGGTCCTTGTGGTATCAATTTTGTCTCTCGTGAGCCAGAACAGACGTTCAAGACAATATCGATCCGTCTCTCAAAGAGTTGGAACAAATTATCTACAAAAAATATTATTTAGGCAGTTTCATTTCATTAAGAAATCTCGGTAAAGTTTTATATTATGTTTGCCCGTACAATTACATCTAATGATAATATTATTAACATAATGTCCAACCAAAAGAAAATCAAGGACAAAGAAAAAGTCTATCTTCAATAAAATGTTTGATAATCCACAAAAATAGATCGAGCATACAGCTCAAATTTTTATGATCGAACTTTGTAGTCTCCCAATCTGCTCGCCATTTAGCCACTGAAATCTTGTGGCACTTGAAATTAACAACACTATCTCCTGTTCTCCTTCACATGAAAGAATGAATATTCTTACTAAAGAAAATTATTAAGGTGAGACCGAGCAATGAATCAAGAGGATGAGTTTGTAGAATAAATATCGCGTAAACAAAAGTACCTTTGAGATTTGAATTTAGACAAATCCTCGTACAAGTATGCAAACTATTACTCTTTTTCGTAATCAAATCTCTAAAGTTTTTTTTTCGTTCAATCAATTACATCAACATTTCAAATATGTGTCAAGGCTTCCATTAGAATTGCGGACGAAAAATGTTGACAGGATGCTAACACTGTTAAATTGTCATAAATTGTCCATGTTGGCATCCGATCTTGTATATTGAGATGCTGTCGCGTAAGTAGACATATTAGACGGTTTAGATCGTCTAACTCAACACACACACACACTCTCTCCTCATCATCCAATCTCCAGGGTGGTAAGCGAGCCACATTAAGCTATTATACTTAACTTTTGTTTGGGTAAATGAGTCATGCCAGCAAAATCACACGATACGGCAATTGATTTAATGGATGCCTTAAAGTGAGCCAAATTCGAAAAATTGAGGTACTTGATTGAACAAACAAAAAGTGTAGGTTCTCGATTGTAAAATGAACAAAAGCTTAGGTACTTACGATATCATCATCCCTGACTCCTAAACCGCTCTAAGTAAAACATCTCAAGAAAAATATTGTCTACGAAGGTGACTATAAGGTGGCGCCATTGGAAATGTCGCCCTAGCAGCGGTGCTGACGGCAACGGTGCGGTAATGGCCATGGGACGGTGGTGCTCTCGCTGGTTTCATTCCTGCATTTTTTTTTCTTTTTTTCTTTTTTTGCTGTTTCTTCTTTTTTGTTTCTCTCTTTGCGTTTTCCTCTTTTATTGAACTTAAATTTGAAAAGATATATGAAAATCTAGACATAATTATAATAGACAAGAACAGAGATTAATGACTTAAGAATCACAATATGAATGAACATGAAAAGAGTTGGACGAGAGTTATAGGATCATTAGTTTTAAGCAAGACACACGTGGAAGTTCTACTGGTAAAGGAAAAAGAGACATTCCCATGGGGATGAAAGAGGAGGGATGTCAAAAATGTGAAGCAACAAACTCCAATTTTCGGCCTGCAAAGTCTTGGTCTTCCTCGAATCTATTGAAGTTTCTTTCCCATTAGCTCTGTTTCACTTTTTCTTCACTTTCAGGACAAAAAGGCAAATGATATACAGTAAAGTCTCTGGGGATATTCTCCAAATATTAAGAAACAAGCACTTGTGGACAAAACGAATATTTATTTTGATTTCTCTCACCTCTGATTTTTGTTTGATCTTTTTGGTAGGTGAAAGTCTTGGTCTTCCTGGACTTTATAGTTTTCTCTCTCTCTCTGTTAGCTCATCATCACTTTGCTTCCCCGTAACCCTTGTTGTTCTCTACAGTGACTAATTCACCCATGGCCATTGGAGAGATCTTTTTGGGTTCCTTCTTTCAGGTCTTGTTCGACAAGTTGACTTCTTTGACGTTGGACTATGCGCAGCGAGAAGGAATCAGCAAAGCCCTTGATGAGTGGAAGGGGATGCTGGAAACAATCAATGCTGTGCTAGATGGTGCACAGGACAAGCAACTGAGTGGTGACCGTCTAGTGAAGCAGTGGCTGGATGATGTTAGGGACTTGGCCTATGACATGGAAGACTTGCTCGATGAGTTCGATATCGAAGCCACTAAGGCCAAGTCGGAGGCAGAATCCAGCACAAGCAGAGGTCAGTTGAAAAGGAAGTTCTCTTTCTTTAACCAATCATGCTCGCACGTGTCTGAGACCAAGGTACAAGAGATTAATGGCAGGTTGGAAAAGATTCTCACCAGGAAGGCTCATCTAAGCTTGAGAGAGAATGCTGTGGACAGATCCAACTACACCAACAAAAGGCTCCCCAGCACTTCTTTGCCGGAGCTTCAGTTTTTCGGTAGGAAGGAGGAAGAGGCACAGGTACTCGAACTATTGATAAGTGACGTCCAAAATTCTGATGCTACTCTGAGCATAATTCCCATAGTTGGGATGGGTGGTGTTGGAAAGACAGCCTTGGCTCAACGGCTGTATAATGATCCTAGAGTGAACAGCTATTTCGAGAGGAGAGCATGGGTCTGCGTTTCGGATGTTTTTGATGTTCTCGACATAACGAAGACTATTTTGCAGTTGATCAGCAAATCGCCCTGCGAGGACAAAGATCTTAACTGGCTTCAAGTTAAGTTGAAAGATGATTTGTCTGGGAAGAAGTTTCTTATGGTTTTAGATGATGTTTGGAATGAGAAGTACGGTGAATGGACATCCCTCTTAAAGCCATTTGAAGCAGGGGCTAAGGGAAGCAAGATCATCATCACGACGCGCAACCGTTCTGTTGTTTCCATAACAGGAGCTTCGCCATATCCTTTGAAGGAGTTGTCCATTAATAGCTGTACTAGCTTATTATCCTATCATGCTCTGGGAGCAAGAAATTTTGAGAGGCACCCAAATCTTGAAACAATTGGCAAGAAAATAGCTGAAAAATGTAGAGGTTTACCTTTGGCAGCGAAGATATTGGGCGGTCTCCTACGTAATAAAGAGAATCCCGACGAATGGGAAGCTATCTTAAAAAATAGAATTTGGGATGTAGCCATGGGAGAAAATGATGAGGTTCTTCCAGCTTTGAAATTGAGCTATGTGCATCTTCCTTCTTATCTAAAGAGATGTTTTGCGTATTGCGCAGTATTTCCAAAGGACTACGAATTTGAGAGGGATGATGTGGCACTCTTATGGATAGCAGAGGGCTTCTTAGATGGACGGAAAGCAAAAGAGAATATCTTGAAATTAGGATGCAATTACTTCGATGAGTTAGTATCTAGATCCTTTTTTCAACAATCCAGTGTTGACACATCCAAGTTTTCGATGCACGATCTTTTGAATGACCTGGCAAAGTCAATTGCGGATGTGACATGCTTTACCTCTAGCGAGTCTCAGCTAGTGGGTGATGAAGATAATGCCTCTCTTGAAGAGAAAGCTCGCTATGCATCATTCATCTCATCGGGGTTTGTTACATCAAGAAGCTTGAGAGCATTTGCTAGAATGAAGGTACTAAGAAGTTTAACGCTACTGACTGCTCAATTTGATTATGGCAGAAGAATAATCTATATTTCCAAAAAGGTGCTGCATGAGTTGCTAACAAACTCAAAGTACTTGCGGGTGTTATCATTATGTTATTGTGACATCATAGAGGTACCGGATTGTGTTACTGATTTAAAACATCTCCGATATCTTAATCTCTCATACACTAGCATCATAAGGCTACCTGAGTCAATTTGCGCCATGTGCAAATTACAAGCTTTGATCTTAAAAGGTTGTCGGCGCCTTTCTATGTTGCCTCCGGATATCACAAATTTGGTCAGCTTACAGTTTCTTGACATTAGAGATACAGAGAGTCTAAAAGAGATGCCATTGAGTATTGGTAATTTGAAGAATCTTATTATCTTGTCCAAGTTTGTGGTAGCACCAGAGAAAGGGTCACAGTTAAAGGAGTTAAAGAACTTGCCGCATCTTCAGGGAGGATTAATTGTATCTGAATTGCAAAAGGTGGAAGAAGTTAGAGATGCTAATCTGTTGGGAAAGGAGGGCCTCAGCAACTTAATCTTGCTTTGGGATGAAGATTTTGAAAATCTCCGGAATGATGAGCTCGAAGCACCCGTGCTTCGCGCCCTACGACCTCACACTAATCTTGAAAATCTCACTATCTCGTACTACGGTGGTGGACTATTCCCGTCATGGTTAGGTGATCCATCTTACTTTAAGATAGTGTCTTTGTGCTTGCGTGGCTGTCGTAATGTTAAATTGCTGCCATCCCTTGGACAACTACCTTCACTTAGAGAATTATCTCTTGAAGGTTTAAATACAGTAAGCATGATAGGCTCTGAATTTTACGGAATTGAACGCCCTTTTCCATCCTTAACAATTTTGAAGTTTGATCGGATGTCGGTATGGAAAGATTGGTCTCGTTATGCCAGAGGCCAAGAAAACAAAGTACCATTCTCCTGTCTTCGACATCTTGTTGTCCAGAGCTGTCCTGAGTTGACAGGGACATTGCCTTATCAACTTGATCATCTCTTAGAGCTCAAAATTCGTCATTGCCCGCGTTTGAATGACTCAACCAGTGTGGTTTGTCTTCCATCTCTCCATGAGTTATATTTTGAGGATTGCAACAGGGAGATCTTAAAGAGTTTCGTCAACCTAACTTCTCTAACCATATTGAAAATTGAAAATCTTGCGGAGCTTGTTTGCTTTGATCCAGGGTTTATGGGCTGTATGCATAAGTTGAAGGAGCTCGATATAGGAGACTGTGGCAAGCTAACCTACCTGTGGCAAGATGGTAATGAAACGCGAAAACTTACTTGCCTCGAGAGTATAGTCATCAAAAATTGTCCACGATTCACATCATTTGTGGCGGAAGAAGGAGAGATAGAGCTGTTGTGCAACCTTGAAAGGATGGTATTGACGAATTGCACGAGTTTAGAAAGGCTTCCAACCAAGATGCATGCACTTAGACGTTTGAGCATTTCGAATTGTCCAAAAATCATGGGACTAACCATTCCTCAAGATGACCCTGATAGCAATGACACGATATCACAACTTGAATATCTGTGGATTAGGAATCAGGATTCTCGGATATCCTTTCCGTTTGCCGAGGGTGGACTTGCTGCTCTGAGGGAACTTTATATTCGGGAGTGCGAGGGACTGGAGTCGCTAGAAGAAATCGCCGTAGTAGAATCACTGAAATCTTTGGATATTGGCTCCTGTAAGAATCTTGGAAGCCTACCGCAGTGTCTTCACACGCTCGCCCATCTCACTCGTTTGAGCATATTTAATTGTCCAGCACTGGAGATAGAGGACTTCCCTCCCCTTCCCCTCACCCTGTCACATTTCGCTCTCAGTGAATGTCCGAAGATAAAGTCTATCGCCAACTGTGACATTGCCAGCTGTAAAAATCTCACTGAATTGGATATAAATTGCTGTCCAGAATTGGAGGTGGAGGACTTTCCTCCCCTTCCCATGTCCCTATCGAGCCTTAAACTTTCTATGTGCCCGAAGATAAAGTTCTTGCCAAATGAGTGGCATCGTCTTACTTCCCTCAGGTTTCTATGGATTACGTGCTGTGAAAATATCAAATCCTTCCCCAAAGGGGATTTGCCTCCAAATTTGCGGTCGTTTTGCCTTTGGGGGTGTGAGAACCTGAAGCAGCCAATGAGAGAATGGGGCCTACACATGCTCACTTCCCTCGACTATCTGGTAATTGACGGAATAAGCATGGGAGGGGAGGGAGAGAAGGTGCGGTTTCCTTCGGAGGAGAACGAGGAGGAGGATGCGTGGAGTCTTCTCTTCCCTTCCTCTCTAACCACTCTTGATATTGGAGAGATGAAGAACGTGGAAAGACTGTCGAGCGGTCTTCGCAACCGCCTCTCCTCTCTCATATTTTTACGGATCGGAGATTGCCCCACGTTGAGGTACTTGCCAGAGGATGGCCTCCCTCCCTCCCTCCAACGATTGGAGATATATGAATGCGAGATTCTGAAAGACCGATGCTCAAACCTCGGTGGCGACTGTTGGCCCCTCATCCAAGACATCCCTTACATCGGCATTGATGACGATCGGATCCAGTGAATTGATTCGGCCATGCACAGTGGGTTTTCTAGTGTTCGGGTGAGTTTATGGTTTTTGGAGGCATCGATTTCCATTTCTGCTTCCTCGATTCGATGCTCAACACAAACTGATACTTTCCCGTGGAGAAGTCTCACATGAATTTCCGGAAATCCAAGAAATCCCTGACCATCCGCATTGATTGGGGATTCAGATCCAATGAAGTGAAATCGATCCACTTTCGCTTTCATTTGCTGACTGCCGCGGTTCCTTCTTCCATCTACGGTCAGATTTCTATGGGTTCGGGTAAGTCCTTTGGTCTTGAACGCATCGATTTCGCTTCTGCACTTCAATTTTATTTGGTGCATTGATATGTTCTAAATTTTCTTCTAGTGATTCTGATCTACATAAGAATAATCTCTCTCAAAATCTAAAAACAGGATTAGTTATGTGGAAGCTGTGATATGATTGTGACGAAAGGGGATGCTGTTTTTTTTTTTTTAATGGTTTTCTTTATCATCGAGAACCTTCTTTTAGTTGACGATGATCCTTCGTAGTATCAAGCAGTCTATCTGGGGCAGCTCATGGCTCCAAGCTTTCAATACAACTCCAATTCATGATAGGATCGATATTCATAAACCACCTTCCATTTGGGTCCTCATCTCTGTTGGGTTAGGAACTATCAATTACAGCTTGCTAGAAATTTTTAGCCAATATACTCATGCTTATTTGGTTGAGATTGTAACGATATGCTGCCTGCCTCTGTGTTTGCATTGTCAGCGGTGACCCTTGAGGCAAATCTATTCAGTTCTTTAAAGTATCAGTTGTTTGTGTTTACTCCGCCGCGGAATAAGATTTTGTCATACATTATGTCATTTTATCTGAAATTACCTTCTTATGTGGCATTCTTCCTGCAGGGAGTTCCGGAACAAAAGCTTCAAGCTCACTTGTGTTCCTTTGGTGGAACTGGAAATCTTGCACTTCAACCAATGTATACCTTGTCTGATACATCTCCTCCCTCTCTGCTACTGTTGGATATGTAAATTTTTTGTTGAAGCAATTTTCGTATGACATTGTGAAGCTCTATTAGAGGTTAGTTAATTTGTAATCTGAATTGCGGTTCACTCTGTACTTTCTCTGAGGCTTTTGGGATGTCATTGCACATATAACATGGTGCTTTGACCATATAAATAGGTGGTCAGAAGACCAGAGTTGCATTTTGCTCGACGAGCCATCCAATCATCTGGTAAGTTTAACTCATTTTTCTCCACCTTGTGACTTATGTTACTATTTCGGTTAGCTTGTTATGGTCTTGCACTAATTGAACTTATTGGAACATGGTCTTTACATTGAAAATACAGAAAAAGCAATCAGTGATCACAGCTTCAGGGAGCCTCCGTCACCATACATCTAACTTATAATGGAATAGAAACCAATGTAATTGTTCCAACTTGCAAAATATTGGGAATAGAATAGTTATGCTAGCCTCATCAGTGTTTTTGTATTACAGAAATTTATAATACCGAGTAGTTCAGATATCTGTGCCTATGGGTAGTATTGGGCTTTGCACATAATTTATGCGGAAATCTCTTTGTTTATAAATGTGGACTTTAAGTTCTGTTTAATGACCAGTGAATACTAAAGTGTTATCTTTGTAAATTGCTAGTTTCTTGTCTAAGGGTGGTTGATCAGTATGATTCTGCGTTTTTTACTATCCCAAACTGCAGGATTTGAATGCAGTTGAGGTGCTCATTCAAGGTCTGGTCTTGTTCCAAGGAGGAATTATGATGGTGAGATTGATTTTCTTGCCTAAATACTTCAATTTGACCAACGATCGATCGTCTTCACATATAATAGCCCTCTTTCACCTTGATTGGCAGGTTAGTCATAATGGGCATGTAATATCTGGAAGCATGGACGAGCTCTGGGTGGTTTCTCAAGGCAAGGTGGCACCTTTCCATGGGAATTTCCTGGATCATAAGAAGATACTTCAGTCCTCGTTGAATCAGGCGAGTTTAGTTCTTTTAATCATCCAAGAGTGGTTCAATGGGGTCACGGTACCTTACAAAACATATAATGAGGCTTAGCTACAAAGAGAAAACCAAAGAGGACGAGGAGACGATTGCTGCTGATATAAAGGATGTACTCATATTTACAGCAGCCCACGTGTGTCATCTTATTAGGGTTCGCAGAAGGACGAGTCTAAGTTTTTGACATTGAATATGCAGTATCATTTGCCAATAGCTTAAAAACTGAGTCTGGATTGCAGTCCTAGTATAATTTATGAGAAATTAGCTGTACGAAGATATTTTCCCCATTTTCGTTGTTTGGCACTGTTCAGGAGAATTAATTTTGATAATATTTTCATGATCAACAAAAAATTTGTACTTTCAACTCAAGTACAGAATTGCTTTTAGTAACTATATCGTAGGCCGTCCCTAGCCAAAAAATACTATAATGAAATTCTGTATGTGAATTGGTTAGATAATATCCTTTCAACATTTTCAGGTCATATTCAAAATAAGAAGCTTTCTTTCTTCTTATAACACTTATTGTGTAGATGGAAGAATAGATTGAAAACAGAGGTTTTGAATATGCGAATTTAACAGCTAAATTACGAATGAACTTGCAGATCAAAACCCTTTTAAAAACTGATTGCCTGGTCAAAAATTAAAGTTCATCTTTCTTCTATTTGAATACCCAGTCCATCTCTTGATAATGGTAGCTTTAGAAAAAAGAATAGTAACGGTCGCTCTAAAAAAACAAAGATTCTTGATTTCATTGTTTAGAGAGGCAATGGTTAGATCAAACTGATTTTTGTTGGACTTTATTCATTGGTTTCGTTCTGGAATATCTCTCTCAATCTCTCCCTCCACCTGTGATCTATCTAATCGTTTCTATTGTCTTAATCATGCAGGATGTTGATGGAAGTGTTCCTTTCTTCTGGGGAAGTGATTCTTAAGGTAATCTTGTCCTCTCGGATGATGCAAAAGTTGTGAAGAAGGGCTGTGGGAAATCCTTTGCACCATTCTCGAAAGGTAATCATTTTCAGGGATTATTGATACAGCTTCACTGGAGTTTACTCCGCACATTGAAATGTGAAAAGTAAGGATGGATGAGCTCTGCTGATATTAAGCAGAGTTCACAGGAGAATGTTGCATTGTTGGGTAACAACATATTGGAAGACTTATAGGAAGTAAAGATGCATAAGCTTTGGCATGAGTTGGAAAAATTGGTTTCAAATCTAACTTGTTGATCTAGGGTTAAAGTGGCAATCTTTATCTATATGCGTGTTTTGACGTGTGCATTTTCACCTACAATGTTGCTCTTCCAATGGTTTTCGAGCACCAAACTGTTCACCTCTAAATATTGCCTTCTTTTCCACTCAGGATGCTTCTTTACTAGCTCTGGAGGTTTTGAGGAGATATGAGCACCCACTGAATGAGGTGAAGCCGGTTCCTAGGGTGGACAGCTTGGCCAAGTGTGCAGTGCAACATTGAAAGTGGATGCGGAGTCTAAGAAGGAGTCCAGCATGCCTAGAGTTGGGAGTGCTGCGAACTGGTCCTCGCACTACTGAGTCTTATGGTTTATGGCCCTTTTTTGGCCAGGCCATTAGTTATTGAATGGCCTTCTATTGCTTATAACCCAGTCACCCTTTCTCATATATTGACAATTTTCAGCTCTAATGGTCGGTTGCTCTATGTTGAGAGTTTGAGATGACGTTTTATGCAGCTGTACATGTTTTTTTATAAAACCAAGCCTTTAAAGAACCTGATCATGTGCAATAATATCTTTCTGGCAATTCAGTTAGCTATCATGCAATTTTTCTTATGTTACGTTTTTTCGAATTAGATGTCTATTGTAATGCTGTTATCTCTACTAGTTGTTAAATGAGGAAAAAAGTGGACCAAAATAACTTGGAGCATGCTGGTTCTCATATGGAAATCGAGTTAACCCGACGCATTATGAAGGATCATCTGAACTTCGATAACAGACAATGATAGCATGTTATAGATTAGGGCTAAAGCAGCAGTCGATCTTGCAATTTTTAAGATGTCAACGGGAACTTGACACGTGCCGATACAAACTTAATAGGAAAAAGAAGATAGAAGGAAGCTGTCAATACTCAGCTAATATCAAATTGCAGATCAACAAAAAAGGGAATAGGCTAGCTCTATCTCTCAATTGCCTATCCTGTGCTCAAGAAGGTCCCCCAGTTCCTCGGCAGAACCTCGGGGTGCATTTAGTTGTCTTAGATGAGACTCGGGATCTTCCTCAGTCCATGGCACCCTTTGCTCATCCATTCCGCCCGCCCGTCCAGACATGGCGCCCTCTTTCATCATCATTTTTAGTGCTTGATCTTATTGTTCTGCTTGCAGGGACCTCTTTAGTCGTTTGCAGTGGCCATGCCTCCTGGTGTTAACACATGGAACAAGTCTCAGTCTTCTCTTATTGACATGATGAGCTCTCGCTAAATTTTCTGAGTGAAATTAAGTGATGGTATTGATAGATGTGCATCGTATACATAGCACAAGCTGCACAGCTAGTCAACTAGTCCTGCTTAGAAGTATTCTCGACATCCACTTTCTTATTTAATTCCTCCACACAATATTCATATTTGACACGTTCATCGATCTCCATTCAACATTAGGTATATTGTAAATATCATGCTTAAATCAAGACTCCACCTATCCATATGAAGATTCGGTATCGACTTTCTCACATATTTTGATATAAATTCCTAGATATTTTACCTGGTCTACGCAATATAATCGGGTAAAATTCAATGGAGTAAAGTATACAGCTAGACGAAGATCTGGCGCAAAAGGGATATAGCTTCAGCTTCAGGTAGGTTTGGGCCATCGAAAACCTTGCAGACGTGCTGCTCACCTTTGCCTTTCCTAAACATCAACCTAATTGTGGCTGCAAGAGCCAGAACATGCCCACCTGCAGGTTTCTTTCGGGTCTAATATGAATACACCGCCGCCTGGATCAGCTCCGACCGAAACAAACAAATCAAAGACAGAGTCGTCAAAAAATTATCTTCTTCCTAACTCACGGACTGCAGCTACTCTATGTATCACTAGTTTGCACGAATCAGTATGAGCTTAGTGCCGTCCCCAAATTGCTGTCTTTCAGTGAGCAACCATCAAAGGGCTAAATGGGATAAGATCTTCTAACGGATGCACGAGTTTGTGGGAAACCAACTAACAAAAGCAAGTAAAAGTTCATCAAAGGTAACGTTGTTGGACTGTGCTTCTCATCGAAGTTCACCAAATGCTTCTGTAATTGTCAGAGATTCAATACCACCTGTTTAACATTGCCAAACCAGAGAAAGTTGTTTTTGTTGAAACAAATGAAAAACAATATACACAATCTGTAAAAGAAAGTCTATTACCGCCTAAAAGTTCATCGAGGGCTTGGCTTCCAGTTGTGATGCGAACAACCGACTTTCTCTGGAAACAAATTCAGAGAGAAGGTGTGGTTTCCTTCCGAGGACGAGGATGTGTGGAGTCTTCTCTTTCCTTCTTCTCTAACCTCTCTTAACTTGACAGATACGAGGAACGTGGAAAGACTATCAAGCAGTCTTCACAACTGTCTCTCCTCTCTCCAACATTTATGGATTGAAGATTGCCCGAAGTTGAGGTGATTGCCAGAGGATGGCCTCCCTCCCTCCCTCCAACAATTGCACATATGTAGATGCGAGATTCTGAAAGATGGATGATCAAAACTCACCTGCAACTCTTGGCCCCTCATCCAAGAAATCGCACTCATCAAGATTGATTGGGTTAAGATCCAATGAAGTAAAATCGATCCACATTCACTTTCATTTGCTAACTGCCGCAATTCATTCTTCCATCTGAAGTCAATTTCCTTAATTCAATGCTTAGTATAAACTGATTTTCCTCGTGGAGATATTTCACATAAATATCTGAAAACCAGCCACTAAGGCGAATCATACAGGATGTTGACAAAAGTTTTCCCTTTCTTCTGGGGAAGTGATTCCAAAGGCAATCTTGTTCTCTCAGACGATGTAGAAGTCATGAAGAAGGGCTATGGGAAATTGTTGCACCATTTCGTAAAGGTAATTATTTGCACGGATCATTAATGCAGCATCACTGGAGTTTCCTCCGAGCATTGGAATGTGAAAAGTAAGAATGGATGAGCTCTGCTGATATTAAGCAGAGTTCAGAGGAGAATGTTATGTTGTTACCCAACAACATATTGGAAAAAATTGGTTTCAAACCTAAATTTTTAATCTAAGGTTAAAATGGTATTCTTTATCTGTATGCATGTTTTGACATGTGCATTTTCACCTACAATGTTGCTCTTCCGATGGTTTTCCAGCTCCAAATCGCGTTCACCTTTTAACGTTGCCTTCTTTTTTACTCAGGATGCTTCTTTACCTGCTCCAGAAGTTTGAGAAGTTATGAGCACCCACCGAATGAGGTGAAGCCGGTTCCTAGGGTGGACAGCTCTGGCCAAGCGTGTGGCGCCACGTTCAAAGTGGATGCGAAGACTAAGAAGGAGTCCAACATGCCTAGAGTTGGAAGTGCTGCGAACTAGTCCACACACTACCGAGTCATATGGTTTCTGGCCCTTTTACGGCCAGGCCGTTAGGTATTGAATGGCCTCCCGTTGCTTATGACCCAGTAGTCACCCTTTCTCATACATTAACAATTTTCAGCTCTAATGGTCGGTTGCTTTATGTTGAGAATTTGAGATAACAATGTTTTATCCAGCTGTATATGTTGCTTATAGGACCAAGCCTTTACAAAACCTGATCATGCTATGTGCAATAATATCTTTCTAGCATTTCATTTAGCCATCATGCAGAGAGTCTATTCAATGTCGTGTTTTTTTTACTTAGATGTCTACTGTGTAATTTTTATCTCTACTAGTAAATTAGGCCGGGACGACATTGTTATATGTGGGCAAATGTGAACCATGATAACTTGGAGCATGCTGGTCCTCACATGGAAATCAAGTTTACACAACGCCTTGTGAAGGGTCATCTGAACTTTAATAATAGACAATATGGCAAGTTAGGTATTAAGGCCAAAGCAGCAAACTCCTGTGCAATTTTTAAGCAGTCAAAGGGAACTTGACACATGCCCATACAAACTTAATATGAAAGAAGATAGAGAAAGCTGTCAATACGATAGCTAATATCAAATTGCAGATTCAAAAGAAAAAAAAAAAGTACTTCGCCTGGCCTTCTTGGTTGGAGAGACCTCTTTAGTCCTTTGCATCGGCTATGCCCCCTGGTGTTACCTGAAAAACGTGTGCCTGTCAAGTTCAACATAGATAAAATAAATCTCAATCTCATCTTATTGACATGTGAGCTCTTGCTAAAATTTCTGACAAAAGTGATGGTTTTGAAAAATTCTAGATACCCACTTCTTTTTGTTTAATTCCTCTGCACAAATTTGGTATTCAACGTGTTCATAGATCTCCATACAACATCAAGTATACTATGAGCATCATGCTTAAATCAGGTCTCCACCTATCTATATGTAGACTCAGTATCGACTTTCTCGCAGATTTTGATATAGACTTACAGATATTTTACTTAGTCTCTGCAGTATGATCTCACGAATTTCAATAAAGTATGTAACTAGAGGAAGATCTGGCACAAAAAGGATATAGCTTCAGCTTCGGGTAGGTTTGGGGCATTGAACACCTTGCAAACGGGCTGCTCACCTTTGCCTTTCCTAAACATCAACCGAATTGTGGCTGCATGAGCCAGAACATGCCTGCCTGGAGGTTTCTTTGGGTCTGATATGAACACACCGCCGCCCGGATCAGCTACGTAGTATGAGCTTAGTGCAGTCCCCAAATTGCTATTTTTCAGAGTGCAACCATCAAAGGGCTAAATTGGATAAGAACTTTTAGTGGATGCATGACTATGTGGGAGAAAGGAGGTGCGATGCGGCACCTTGATTGGTCATGTACACTGCCAAGTTAAATTCCTAAGCTATCTTAAGTAAGCATGAGAGCATTTGTGCCAATTTTTGCTGCAATTGGGAATCTATTAGTGTCAAACCAGATGAGCTGAAAAATTACTACTCGCATGATTTGATGGTTTCAGAATCGACCTAACGCTCTGAAAATTCTCCCCTGCCAGTAAAATCCACTCGAAAGAGCGCGATCACTGGATCCACAGTCTGAAGGATATAACTCAGCTAAGGTCAACCATCGACACCTCACAAAATGTGTGCAGTTTGATCTTCGAGCACTATCTTACCAGAAACCTAATTGGTTCTTCAGACATTTTGGCAGCCAAACCAAGAAGCAAGTTGTGCTGATGCTCATAAGTATAGGCACGGGCATAAATGATCTTCAAATTCATGGAAAGACTAGATTACAGCAAGTAGATTAGCCAGAAAAGAAGGAAGAATTGCCACCAGTGTAGAAAGCATTGCTTACATTATCTAGGACGGCACCAGGATCCATGCCAAATCTTTCGGCTATTGGTACAATTCGATCAAGGCGACTGCATGTGTACCAAGTTAAGAAGTGCATATGCACTTACATGGACGTAAGCCGAGTATGAAACAAAAGCAGCTTTGCTGAGGTCAAGAAAATGACTGACAGATTATAATAGGATACAAAGTTCCGTCCGTGTCGATGTAAGCTACCTTGTCATTCCCCCCTCTCATGTGAGTTGGCAGTTGGAAAAATTGTTAGGATAATGGAATCCACAAACCATAAATCATCATCTTATGGAACAGGATTACCTTTAATAATGAGTGACGGAAAGAGGGGAAAATAATGTTGTAGGATTTGCATATAAAGTAGAGTACTTCAAGCATCACATTCAACTGATGATCAACCCAAGTCCAAGTCTAACAATGATTAAGGCTTCTGATTGGTTATGACCTAGTACGCTCTCCTGGCTTTTTTCTACTTGGTTTGAACCACTGCTTATTATGCATTCCAGTATACTGGCTGCAGATTACAGAAAATGACAGTGCCATCCTTCCGGAATCACCTAATCCGCACGTTCTGATGCCAAGATCACCCATGGCTGTATTCTTTACTAGAAATTCAATCACTATGTTCATATTTGCGTTGTTAATCTAGGAAACATAAAACGCAACAGAAGTGAAGGACGGAAACCTAATATGAAATTCAGACCAACCTGAGTAGAAACACAAAGGGTATGTGCAAGCCGTGTTTTCCCAGACCTGAAGTGACGTTAGCAGCATTTTCTGAGATAACCAACTAACAAAAGCAAGTAAAAGTTCGTCAAAGCCAACGTTGTTGGGCTGTGCTTTTCACCGAAATTCGCCAAATGCTTCTATGATTGCCTGAGTTTCAATACCACCTGATTAACATTTCCAGACCAGGAAAAGTTGTGTTTGTTGAAACGCATGAAGAATAATATACACAATCTGCAAAACAAAGTCTATTACCGCCTAAAAAGCTCATCAAGGGCTTGGCTTCCAGTTGTGATGCGAACAACCGACTTTCTCTGGAAATGAAGACATTAAAAGTACTTTGTGCTGTGAGGTCAATAGTGTTTAGAGCAAGTGCAGCTTTCTGCAGTCCAAATGCTAATTTGCAGGCTTTATTTCAAGGGTCAATGACTCATTCAGGTCTTCCGAACCAATTTAGTTTGTAAAATTAAGAACATACTCCGAGCAGAGCGTCACTTCCAGTAATATAACCAAAATTCTGATGAAAACAAAGGGAAGTTAACGTGAGATGCGTATAGAAGTTCCAATTGATTGCAGCCACCATCTCAGAATAACAAGTAATTTAAGCTCTAACCACTATCTTTTCAGCTGCTTCGCATATCTTGTCAACTTTTGCTTCAGATAAACCTTTGATTCCAGTAAAGTGCTACAAAAAAAGAAAAAAAAAGAAAAAAGAAATCACCTTAGCCAAATAAGAAAAGGAACCTCAACTTAATTCTCAAAACTGAAGATCAGTTATCTACTTTGTATGCATCATCAAGCATTTCTCGGGGAATAAATGCTGGAGAGGTGCAAAAGCTAAGAGACTCTGGCATCCACAAGTTGCAATAGCTTTACTGCAAGTGGTGGATCCCGAATCTCGTAGCTTTTTCACATTATTGCAAGTGTGGATTCCTGCATCCTGTAGCTTTTTCCCTGAGAAATAACTGCAAACCGAAAAAAAAATGAGAATAGTTCGGAGAAAGAACATGAAAACAACAGGCCATCGTGTTAACCATACGTTGGTGGATGCAGAATGTCAGGACAAAAGCATTTCCTAGATTTATGACAATCTAGTGTTCCAATAGCGATTATTGACGAATTTAGCTTAGGATACTCGTTCTTAATTGCTGCATGTCACCAATACGTGGAAAACAGACATGCCATGCCATGGTGCAATTCGAATGTCGCATAACATAAACACAAGCTGAATTGCTCTTGTATGATTAGAAGACCTACGGCAAAGAGGTGAATTAGACATATCATGTTCGAACTGTAGCAAAAATTACTCCTTTATCTTATGCACAGAAAAATCAGAATGAATTCACTAGAAAGGTTGAGATGTAAAAACACGAATGGATTCGCAGTGATGTTCCAGGAAAATCGAGCTAAACTGAGCAACCAAACCGAAATCGATCTAATCCGCTGAGCAGTATTCAGAGTAACTTAACACCAATATTCAGAGAGATTTACAGCTATAGATGCGTCGAATGATTTGCATTCTATTTCGACTTCAGAACAGAGACCGAACAAACAAGGTCGACTCCAAAGTTCACTTCAACGACAAGAATCAGGTGAACGAAATTGAAACCGCGGAACTCACCTGAGAAACGAAATCGTCCTCGACGATGGAGCGTGACGATCGGCAATGAAGTTCTTTCGCTCTGCGGAGAAGGAGAGACTTTCAAATTTTTTGAGGATGGGAAACGAGAGGAAATGGGAGGGAATCTTATATATATAGAGAGAGGCGGGAAGCGAGAAGAAGGGCTCTTGCCTTATTTTTTTCTTTTCTCTTTTCTTTTAAAAAAAAATGTTTTATTGAGTTTTATTATTCCGAAATAGATCTTATGAATTTTAAGAATTGATAAGATCCATTCCTAAAGAGGGATAGAATAAATTGGGTTTGATTTTTTTTTTTATTTCGCATTGAATAACTCCATTTGATTTGGCTCGGTTTTAGACTCGCCTTAGTCCCGCAACGTGAGAGTTTGAAATTTCTCAGCTTCTGTATGATTGCCTGTTGGTTTGCTCAGTGACGAATAAAAAGAGAGTTTCAAATAAAATTTACGATGGGAAACAATTGTAAATTAAAGCGAGTTTATATAGGAAGGTGAGAAGTGGGATCAATTTGATCGGGTTAATTCGAGTTGAGTAATGGTTTGAAATCCGCTATAAGATTGAGTTCATTTTTTTCTTTTTTCTTTTTTTCAAGAGAAAGAGATTCAATTGAGTTTATGAATTTATGAGATCCACTTCTATAAGAGCGAGAGAGAAAATTCGATTTGTTTTTTTTTTTGCGTCAAATAACTCCAGTTCGATTTATCATGGACCGGCAGTCCGACCAAAAGGAGTTCGTTTCCATACTCACATGAGTCTCGCTCGGTTTATAATTTTCCCAAACTATCAACCAAATAAAATTCTTTTTCGAAAAGGAAAAAAATTGATTATGGATTGTGATTTATGCTTTATTGAACTGCATCATGCTCAAAACTCCACACTCATCGCTCCTGAGTCATACGAGAATATGAAACAACAATTAAGCCATTCGGAATAGTGTGACATTCCGAATTTCGGCCCATTTTTGGGATTTATAAAACGTGTAATTTGTCAGTGTGCTTATAGTAAAATCTCGTCCGAGAACTGATCACTCTCGGTTATTATTTTTAAATTAGAGATTTCGCTAGAATCGCACTCGATCGAATTTGACCGTTATTTAGACCCCGAACTTGGCAGTCGATTTTCGGAAGTTTCGGGACGAAATAAATTGGATGGTGTCGATATTGTTGTGGCCAGCGTTGAGATTGTCAGGAATGATGGAAAAATGGGAGTTTTTGACCACGTGCGAATTTGGACTAGTAGACCTCTCTCGTTATGATTTGGTCTAATTAATTTGGCATTTGTCCCTTTTTATGTGCGAGGCTTATTTTGGACCGGTAGACCACTTTCGGTTTTTAATTTGGGCCATCGGATTGCAAATAATATTTGAATGTTCAAATATTTTCTTTTATTCTCTCTCTCTCCTCTGCGCGCACGTTTCCCCTTGGCAGACGTCCCCTCAGCTCACCAACTCCCACCTGCTCTCTCTCTCTCTTCTTTTCTTTTCTTTCTTTCTTTTTCTTTTCTTCTTTCTTTCTCTTCTTTTTCTTCCTTCTTCCTTCCCCGAACTCGCCTGGTTCTGCTTCGTTCCTGCTCTGCTCGCCGGCTGCTGCTCGACCGCCCATCCAGCTCCGCCCGATGCCACCCTACCAGCCGCCGACGCCGCCGTCCATCTGGCCCGTCGCCGCCGTTGCTGTTGCTGCTCCGGCAAGACCCCCGGTTCCCCCTTTTTTTCCCCTGTTTTTCTCTCCCCCGAAGCCTTCCCCTGTTCTGGACTTCTTCCCGCCGCTGCTGCCCGTCGCGCCCGGCCGCCGCTGTTCGCCGGTGCCGTCGCCGTGGGCCGCCATCCCTCTCACCCCAAGTAGCCGGCAAGTCCCCCTCTCCTCCCTCTCTCTCTCTCTCTCTCTCGGTTTGACCGTGAGAGGCCTTGAGCCGGAGGAACTACGCCGCCGCCGTTACTGTTCCGGCGAGGGACTGCCGCTGCCCAGCCCCTTTTCGTCGCGTTTTCGGCCCGTTTCAAGCTTAGGACATCCGGTGAGTTTGACCCTAAGCCCTAATTAAGACAATTTGCATTTCTAGACGGGTTTTAGGGTTAATTAGGGTAATTAGGGGCTAAATGGTGGCTGCTGTTAGGGGCTGATTTTGTGGTGTTTTTGGTGACCAAGGATGATTATTTGGTCGAGGTTTAGTGGCCCGTATAGTGCTGTGCGGTGGCTGGGCATAGGCGCCTTAAATTGTGTGAAAATGTGAATTTGGCGGGTGCAAATTGAGGACCGAGTGGAGGTCGCTAGGGGCTGATTTTGTGGTGCGTTTGGTGACCGAGAATGATGATTTAATTGAGGTTTAGTGGACTATAGCGTGCTGTGATGTGGCGAGGCATAGGTGCCGTGATTTGGACGGAATTGTGGATTTAGTGGGTGAAATTGGGAGACCGAATGGTGGCTGCCTTGGTGACTATTTTACGGGCTTAGTGCGACAATTTAGTTGAGATTTAGTGACCCGCGAGGTGCCGTGAGATGGCTGGACAGATTGGTTCGGAGCAGTCCAAGTTTGGAGTAAGTTCGGGCTTTAAATATGGATTTTAGTGCGCGCCTCATTTGGTCTTTGTGGTGGCTGATTAGAATGATGTTTTGGAAAGTTTAATGGGGCATTTTGAAGATATTTATTGGCCTAAAATTTGCGGTATAGTGGCTTTTCCATAACGGATTGAATTGGACAAGGCGCGACCTATTTGGAGTTTAATCTTGCAATTACCGGGAATGATTGCATTGATTAATTGACTGGCTGATTGGCCTTTGTTTGTGGTTGGATTTGTGATGTCGTGTCGCATGTCTAGCGGGACTAAGAATGGAATAGCTTGGCGGGCCTCGAATGCGCGAATTCTTGTTGACCCGGTTGTGTGATTTATACGCGTGAATTGTGTACCGTGCATGAGTGCTTGAATTGAATTTCATGGTCGTGCTAATATGTGGGTTGGGCATATTGAAATGTTGAATGGACATGGTGCACTGTGAACTAATTAATTGGCATTGTGCTATTGAATGTCCATTGTGAAATCGTGAATGCCCGAGTGTGAAGTTTATGGCTATGAGTTTGCATCACGAGCATTGGCACGGCATGTGCATTTACAAGTGTGCTCGAGTGACATGTGCATTGTGATCACCTAAAATGCCCTGATGCGTTTAACGCGGGGTTCAGATAACAATTGGTGTTTGTGAATGAGTGATCACATAAAGCCCTGATGCGTTTTACGCGGGGTAGTGAACCCGTCCTGAGGCGTGTTACGCGGGACGATGCCCGGATTACCGGAAGATGACCAACCTGATGCGTGTTACGCGGGTTATGTGTCATGAGCCTGATGCGTTTTACGCGGGCCGGAGATCGATCTCGAAGTGATGGACCTGATGCGTTTTATGCGGGTCGGACCTGATGCGTTTAACGCGGGTCGAAGGAGAAATTGATAAATGGCAAGTGTGCTGAGTGCAAGCGTGCGAAAATGCATTGATGAGGCGTGAGCACGCGTATGAGCACGAGCATAAGCATGATATGCGTTGTGACCAAATGATGTGTACGTGTGCTGCGATTGGGTCCTATGTGTTATGCTTGAACTGTAAGTGCCTAACCTGCAGGGCAAGGTGAGTGTTGGATTTGGGCCCGAGGGCCTAAGTCAATTATGATTTGCTTGGTGTGTTGATTTAGTACTCGTCGGGAGGTGCACTTTAGCCTAATTTAGGTTTAGGGAATTACTCGTTGAGATTTATTCTCACTTGTTGTTGAAATCCAATTTTTCGGACCACCACTCGAGGATGGCAAGCGTATTGAAACGTTTTGGGAGGAGCCCCGGCTAGATATAGTGTTTGATCGCCGAGCCACGTACCCGCTTTTGACTTTTGAGTGTGGGCTGTATATGAATATTGTATATGTTTCCCGATGTCAAAACAAGTGTATATTTATCCGTGCTGGTTGTTGTATGGCTATCCTTGGTTAGGTGTATTTTAATGTACGGGTGGTTTTAATTACTTCCGCATGTGCTTTAAATCTCTGTGTTGGGTGTTGGGTCGGCGACGTGTCCTGGGATGTCGCACACGAATCGACCTTTGCGAGGGATGTGGCGCGCCGAGGAGTGCGGGGCGTGACAAATAGCTTGCGAAGCACGCTTACCAGCAACTTAGTAATTTCGTTAAAGGGTGACAAGCATGGAGCACGCTTGATTTATCGTTTTAATGTTTGAAACTTGATTTTTATATAGTATTGGGCCCTTCCTGCTCCAATTTCCTGAATGTGCAAATCACTCTTGATAGTTAAAATCATTAGTAATCTCTTACATGTCTTTTCCTAAAAAAAATTATTCTCTTACGTTACGTTTTAGACTTGTATATAATGAGAAGAGATTTAATTGTTTACGAATTACATAATATTAATGTTTGGTTTCACATGATTTAATTTATTTCTTTTACTAACTTCATTATGAATTTACACCAGAATTTTTCGGGTAATCTCAAACACCTAATTTTTTTTATAAACACGTCAATATAACCATTTGTAAGACTCTAGAGCTCTTTTAATTATTTAAAATCAAAAAATCATTTTAATTGCGATGACGAATGTAAAACTCGTTGGGCAGCTTACAAGCAAAACAAAAGCCGATATGTCTTTATTTTATTTTTTAGCATTTAGGAAAAGCGTAAGGAATTATTTCAAATAAGAATTTGAAGTGCCATTATTATTATTTTTAAATAAAAAGTCTGAAGAACTCTTATTTTCTCAAATAAGGGCATGACCCACCAACTAATCAAGGACATTTTCATCATTTTATTATTTTTATTATTTTCTTTTCTGTTTTTTTCTCCGTTGCTGGCCGGTGAGGCAAGGCAATGGCCAACGATGGAGAAAACAAAAAGAAACGGTCAAAAAGAAACAGAAAAGAAGAAAAGCAAAAGGAAAAAATATTTAAAAAATAAAAGGATAAAAATGCCCTTGATTAGTTGGTA